ACATACAGTGAAAGAGGGTCAGAGCAGCAGTCTTGCTCATTCACACGCGTGTTAAGTACCATTTTTTAAGCATGACTTATATAAACGAGTTATAATAACAGCAGAAATGTGCACCCAGTGCCTGTGCAGACTGTCAAACATATACATGGACAGTTTACTGACATTTAATTTAATCCATAAAATGAAAATATCTTGGATTCGATTGTTGCACGTCTCAAAAAGTCTTCTGAGATACAGTTTGGTCCACATAAAATGCATACAGAGATTTCAGTTGTCTTGCCATATATGCCATCATATTGCTCAGTCAAGAAAATGACTACATTTATCATAGTTTGTTGAATTTGGATTGTTGCTTTATGGTACAGAGAGATTTGGTTCCACAGAAGTTGGACTGTGGTGATATTTGTTTTTTTATTTTAATTTTAATTATTGTTTTTCTGTCTGCTGGTGTTTCCTGGTCTGTATGCTCATCTTTACTGTGTGTAGTGTCAGTCTTGTCCTGCTGAGTGTATAGTTGGTTTTTACTTGTGTCTTTTTTGGCTTTATGTCTTTCAGTCCTCACTTGTCTTGACTACTTTCACCTGTGTGTCTGTGTCTTCGAGTACCCACTGCTCACACAGTTTATGTGTAAAAACGCTGTCAGTCTGATTAAACAGCTGTTTTTGTGGAGGTGTGTGGACGACAGGAAATGGGACCGTTTTGCATCCTGACACAGCACTGACGCCAGTGTGTAGGCTTCCACTGGAAACAATAGAAGTGGGTGATTCAATTCACGTCAAGCTGCCTGTGTGCGAATGACTTTATGTAATACAATTTCCTAGGATTGTCTGGAATTTTTGACTGAAGTAAACAATAAATATCTCTTAATGTGTCTTAATATCAGCTGAAAGCATCAATTTCCATACCGTGGTGGCATCCTGGTCACCTCACCCAACTTGCTGCGACTCTAACACACATTTTCCTCATCGTTTCTTTCGATGCTCTCCTTTTCTTACTTTGCTTTCCCTGCAGACCCTAACCAGTCATGGCACATTGCTCCCCCTCGCTGAGTCTGTTTCTGCTGGAGGACTCTTCCTGTTAAAAGTGAGTTCTTGCTTCCAACTGTTGCCATGTGCAGCTCATAGAGGTCATTTGTATCTTGGTGTTTTCTCTTTTGTAGGTTCTTTATTATATATTAAAAAAAAAAAAAACTTTTGTTGTGAGTTGGCGCTATGCAAAATAAAACTGAACTAAGTTTTTAAATGTAAATTTAAAGCAGGCTTGGGTATACTTTAGACATTACTTACTTTACTAATGTTTTCTGCTTTACTTACTACAGTTTAATTGTATTTGTTTATGTGTACTCATCTGTGATGTTCTCCTTTTAATCCAATTTATCCAGTATTATATTATTTAATCTTTTTTTATTTTATTTCTTACATTGTAGTGTAATTGTAGTCTACTGAAACTTTATTTTACTTTCTGTGTTTTTACAATTAGTTTTGCTCCGGCCTGTAAACAGCTTGTCAGTGATCTGACTGACCTGCATGAAAAGGTGCTATACAAATTAAGCTTGACTTTTTTCTCTGCTTGTATCCCGACGCATCTTTCTGCCGGGGTGAAATCATCGGTACCCAAGTTGAGCATAAAGCACTTTTAATATTTCATAGCAGCAGGAAGAAACGGACCAATTTCAGCCCCTGACCTTTAGCAGCATCACCAAGCAATCATCTGATTAGCATTAAAGCAAAGAGCCCAAATATCCAGCTGAGTCGAAATAAACTGCCTTTAGCCACAAGAGGAAGAAGGGATGCTGCACCAGGTGGTGCTCAAGACCCTCATTTACTTGATCTTAATCTTAAGATCCTTCCCAGTGGTGTGCGCACACTTGATCCATTAAAGATGCTCATCATGAAAATAAATAAAAAACTTAAATAGTCTCACATGTGCAGCTGGGAGCCAAAAAATCTACTTACACAGATGGTAACAGCTTTGATATTTACTCACAGATAATAGCGCATGAATGAGGGTTTAGTCATTAATGGCCATGAACCAAAAGAGAAACAAAATATATTTTCCTCTCTCCCTCCTAAAAGCACAATTTTGTCTTTTATTAATGCAACTTCTTTCTAATTTAACCCACTGTTTGTGGAACATGACATCCTGTTTATAATTCAAGCACCTTGCATCTTGCACTTAATTGATTAGATCTCATAATTCCTATCACAGTGGTCATAAAGTAAACGCGCAGTATCCCCACATCAAAGCAGGGTTTTATAAATAACTTATTTTACACACTTTTATGCCAAAGTTATACCCAAACTCAAAACTGGTCATTGTCACAATTATGATATGAATTATGAATTGTGATATGTTCGCCATAATCTTTGGAACAATCAACACGGCAAGTATCAAGAAAACAGGTAGTGTTAAGATCATCTGCTTCAGTGTTACCTGGAAGTCATTCATCAAGCCAAATGGACAGCCTCCCTCCTTACAGATGGAAAAATCATAGCCGAGCGTGCAGGCAGCATCGGTGCAGTTCACTGTGGGGCTCACTGTGTCATTGTGGTCACCAGTTGCATCTCTCACAATACAGGAGCCTGCAGGAGGCACAACCAGGATACAAATCTGGATCAGTAATCGGTAAAGTGACATGTATACAAAGCTTTTACTTCTAAACCTATCTATCTATCTATCTATCTATCTATCTATCTATCTATCTATCTATCTATCTATCTATCTATCTATCTATCTATCTATCTATCTATC